TGTTTCACTTTCTTCCTCAAAAGCATGAACTAATACACCTCTACTACCTAGTTTCCACAAGGGAAAATTAAGTCAAATCCAAAAATGTGAATTGAGGTTTTCATTCACACATACACATACACACGAAGTCTAGCATTGTCTTTGACCACGAGAAGTGTATACCAAAGAACGAGTAGTAGTATAGGTGGGTGTACACAGTATGTCTAGTTCATTTTTTACATAAACGATGATTTATTTTATTTCAAATTAATATCTGATGTTACCTAATGAATGCCAGACAAAACTACACACCTGTCAATAATTGTTCGTCAGCCAACCATAAAGGATATTAATAATAATAATAATAATAATAACGTCTATCAATACAAATGAACAATATGAAAGCTACCACCACACAAATCACTTATAAGTAGACAGGAAGGAAAATAAACAAAACAGCTTATTCAGAAAAGATAAGAGAAAGAAACAGAAAATCTCATTTATACAACACTTTTCATTCACTTAATTTAATATCATCAATTTCAATTTATCTAATGATTATCAAGTCTAATACTTTTAGACAAATCTATCTAATTTTTAGATTGAACTAATCAATCATTTAACAAAAATGGCTGAAATATGTCTGAAATATAACTGATGGACTAAAGAATTAAAATGATATAATCTGGCTAAGATAACAGATGTACAACAAGTAAGTAATGAGGAGATTAGCTTAGAAGTGATAAGATTCAATGATGATTACCATTATCACTTGCCAACTTGAATATACGTGTGTCCAAACATACACAGGGGAAACTCATCGATCTCTGCAAGTAAGGGCTGGCTTCAGAAGCAAATAGAAAACACCTCCTAACTCCTCTATTCCAAAACATATTATAGAGACAGGACATGAAATTGATGTCCATATGTCTTTTAAACCTATCTATTGAACAGGTTTGGGGGAGGGCATATCCTAAAGTCTCTGGAAGTCCTAGCTGGCAATCAGGAAGTTTAAACAACTTTTATGCGTTCAAAACAATTCGTCATCACGCTAAACCTTCCTTGGTAAACTTTGTTTTGATACCAGCCACGGTAGATGTACTATTACCTCTCTTATTTGGCTTGGTGATGTTCATTGTTATGTTGACTTTCAAAATGTCGCTTTAACATGACCTTAGTCTATTTTCTCACCTCTTAACTATTTATTCATTTCATATATATATTCTTATGACGCTGGATTCAGGAAAGGCAGATCATGTTCTGACCAAACTGCAACTCTACGCATCATCATCGAACAAAGCATGGAATGGCACTCAAACCTCTACCTCAACTTTATAGACTTTGAGAAGGCCTTCGACAGCGTTGACCGCGAAGTAATTTGGAAGCTACTCATGTACTACGGCGTACCCCAAATATTCATCAACCTTATTCAACAGCTGTACGGCAACGGCACATGTCAAGTGATCCACAACGGAAAACGCAGCGAGGTGTTTGGAGTAAACACACGAGTCAGACAAGGGTGCTTATTATCACCAATGATATTCCTAATTGTGGTGGACTGGATTATGCGTCAGACAGAGGGAAACGAGAAGACAGGAATATCCTGAACCGACGTTATCATCTAGTTTCCAGTCAAATGTATCAGCCATCCGGACAACTTAATAAAATATACTGAGGACTTGTGGTTTTTTGAAGTTTTCTTTTATTTTTTGAAACACTGTTAATTAGTGGTGTCAGATTGGAGTGTGTCGTGATGGAAAGAGGTGGAGTCACACCAATGATAGATTCAGGAGACTATATATCACTGACTATTTGAGATTGGTGGTTGTGTATACCACTCATATCAACCAGTAAGTGCTTGCTAACTAGTCAGATCGAGGTGACCTAAACACCGGATGGCCGTTTCGCTCGTTTGGGGTCGAGGTAATTACTAACAAATTAGCAAACTTCACACATTTGGTTCCCTTGATAAATTTCGATAGAGAAAGAAAGATTTGCAGTATAAGATGATATCATTCTGTTCACAAGTTTCGGTTTTGTAAGGATTTTCTTTGATTGCATAGAGGATTTCATCATGACCTGACATAAGTTACAGAACCACTGGAAAACCTGGGAGTACTGGACAGTTATTTCGTCCTAATTTGGGACTCTTCATCAGTACGCACCCATCAAAAGGGTTCGAACCCAGGAACCTCTGGTTACAAGGCGAGCTCGTAGACCACTTAGCCACTGGGACCCGATCCAATGGTTTTTGAATTCTAGCTCCTGCTAATTCACAACATAGTGCGACCACTTCACAATGTCTTCTTCGATGAGAAACTGTCCTCACCTTCAACCTGCTGCACCCTACTGGTCACGGCTTCTCACTAGAACCCCACGTCACTGCCTGAATAGGGCCAGTTGCTAGTGAACATCAGATTAATTTTCAAGTATTGGTTTTGGAGGGATTTTGTTTGATTGCATAGAGGATTTCATCATGAATTGGAAGAAGTTAGAATTCAAGGACCATTGTTTTGGGTCCCAGTGGCTTAATGGTCTACGAGCTTACCTCGTAATTAGGAGGTCCTGGATTCAAACCCTGGTGATGGTTGCGTACCGCTGAAGAGTCCCAAATTAGGACTCCCAGGTTTTCCAGTGGTTCTCTAACTGATGTCAGCTCATGATGAAATCCTCTATGCAATCATTCTATTTCACAGGTTCTCATCAGCTGCAGACTACCTAAAAGTATAATGGTTATATAGATGATAATAACATACTTTAATGTTTAAATGGTAGGAGAGAAGAGATACCATAAAACTGACGCATCCAAAATGTAAGTATTACAATTTTTAGTTTAAGTTTTCATCATCAATTTATACGCCTTCAAAGTAGATAAAAAGAGGTAGGGGTAAGATAGAAAACAGAAAAAATTAACAAACAGTGTTAGCTTATACTGTTTGTTAATCTTCTTTTGTAAGGTATATCAGGTATATATATAGAGTCACAAGGAAAATTAATTTGAACCTTGACCGGAAATTATTCTGGAACTTTCCCACTCATGTATTATAAATACGCGAATGTACAGCCTAGTTGATGATTTCGTCGAAAAAAGAAATTTTCTTCGCTGCAACTGTCTTTTTATTATTCCCTATGATCAAATATGTATATTCCGTGATTTGAAAAATTTGGAAATAGCGAAGAAAATTTTCTTTTCGACAATTCATTTTTATAAGCTCTACAGTCGTGATTATATTTAATAAAGACTGTCATAAGACAACCAATCAGATGCTGGTAAAATTTGCCATCGAAAACGTATTACGTAATGTAAGGTGTAGTCTAGACAGTGTCTAAGTGGAAATTAGAAAAAGGGAAGAAGTGAGATGACGTAATAGGTGTGAGAAAAGGACTAATCAATATGATATTTGGATTTCCGATCATCCCATCCTATATCAGTAAAAATAGGATTGGTGAAATGTTTAAGTGACAGAGCACAAAAACTAAGTAGTACGAAGGAAAATCTAAGACAGGAAGTGAGACATATAAGAGAAGCCTTGGAGCTTAATAATTACCCTGATGAATTAGTCAGAAAGTATGTAGGGAAATGTAAAAATAAAATAAATAACAGTAGTAGTGATAGTGATAATGACAACAATGATGATAATAATATTAATAATCATAATAATAGTAATATTAATGACGACATGCATGTCAAACATGCCCAAGACAGCACCAACAATAAGGAATCTAAATCATCAGTAGTAATTCCATACAAGGAAGGAACCTCGGAAACCTTACGCAGAATTTTTTAAAATGCTGGCAGGAATAAAAGTGGCATTGAAACCCACAAACTCAATTAGAAACAAGCTTTATCGGTTAAAGGATCCTGTAGAACCTTTAAAACAAAACAATTTAGTTTATCTAATACCCCGCTGGAATGATTGTCAGGTCAAATACATAGGTCAAACTAGTAGAACAGGGGCAGTCAGACTAGCTGAACATAAAAACTTAGCAAAATCTAGATTGGTTGACCCGAATAAGATAAGAAATCTAGAGAATAGTTCAGCTATAGCACTACATGCAGTTACACACAACTACACAATAGGATGGGATAGGATGACAGTTTTAAAATCTAATGTCACAGGGTATAGGGAGAGGTTGATAACAGAAGCTTTCTTTATCGAATCAAGTGCAAATACATGTAATAGGAATGATTCAACACCTATCCCCAATTTCAAAGTCGTGTGATTATAATTGATATGATTATGAACCACAATAAATTTTGTTCGAAACGTCATCCAGTAAATAATACTGTTTCACTGTGTGATACATCTAATAAACAAACTAATATGGAAAGCCGATAAAGTGTTTTTATATAAAATCTATATAGAAACGCAGTGTTATTAATAAACAGTAGTAGAGTTATAATAAACTAAGGATGATGAGAAAATAATAATAATAGTAAAATTACACAATAAAAAGAAGCAAAATTATAGTGAGAACATTACTCTGGCCACGGTAGGGCGAGGGAATGTATGTGATGCTTTTGAATGCAGAGGTGCGGTTTCAGATCCCGAATAGCCAATGATTCAGCTGTGTACAGAAGGCGCATTCGAAGTATGCAAACTTTTCTAATTCCCAATTAGTCACGCCATCTAGACTACACCTTACATCATGTAATACGTTTTTCAAAGACAAATTTTACCAGTATATCATTGGTCTTATGAATTCTATGTTGAATATAATTACGACAGTACAGCTTATGAAAATGAATCGTGGAAAAGAAAATTTGCAGTTTATGAGTTCAAGATTCAGGGAACCATTGTGAACATGACAGACATAAGAGTAAAGATTTGTATCTCAATGATGAGAATACAAACTGGTGTTCCTCTAAAGCTTTGATTGATATCTGTTCGTGGAGGTTTCAACACCCTAGTGGGTGACATTTTGACCAAGGAGAAAAGCGAATAATTTTCACATGGTCTCATTTTTTCAAAGGATAACAAAAACACTCAATGATCATGTCAATAATGAATATAAGACATTTATGAAACACTTACCTCTTTCTTTTGTTCATAACCTAAAAAGTGAAAGTAAAAGAAAAGAATACATTTGTTAATATTACTTCCTTATTGATAATGAAGTAGAAATATGAATATTATGACATTTTCATAGACTTTAAACACTCTTTTTCTGTGATATGCAATCAAGATGATAATTTAAAAAAAATTCAATTTTAGATTTTCTCCTCGATTGATTGAACCGAAGTGCTCGGTCTCAGGTTGACATGTCGGCTTCTTGTGCAGATGCTTCGACGATGTCTGGTCATGTAATTAGAAGTTAATTGGTGGATGGTGACTAGCAGTGGAATCCAGGATAGCGCGCATTTCGTCCTATTTGGGACTCGTCATCTGGATGTACCTGCATTCCACAGTGAGTGATGATGTTCCCACTGAGGCTCGAACCCAGTGCCTATAGTTTCAAACTCCAAAGCGTTATCTACGTGGCGTTTGAAACTATGGCCACTGGGTTCGAATCCCGGTGGGAACATCATCACTCACCGTGTAATGCAGATACATCCAGATGACGAGTCATAAATAGGACAAACCCGCATCCTGGATTCCACTGCTAGTCACCATCCACCAGTTAAATTCTAATCAAGATGATGGTTTACATTCAAAGCACTTGAAAAAAGTGTGTCTGATTATACACATTAAATGACTGAAATGAGCTGCAGAGTATGAGACTTTTTTATTATAGCTTGATTCCACACAGTAATTTTGGTACAACTATGGAATTTTCAGTATTTAGTATCAGTAGTCCAAATTTAGCGGGCCGACCCATTGATATCAGGTGTGTGTTGGCCGGGGATTGAACCCTAGACCATGCTCATGGTTGGTGAGCGTGCTGACCGCTGTGGCACCAACGCGCTGACTTATCTGCCTTGTGTGTAATACATTTAATTCAGAGCTATTACAAGTCATTAGAAAGTCAACTTCGTAATATGAATAGCAGGACACTCCGCATGATGATTGAATGAGTGTATGAATACAACTCCAGTGACTAACAATTCGTAGGAATAAAATGAAGCGATAACTGATTGCAACAAAACAGTGTTCGATAATTCTGAAAACAAAAAAAAATTAACTTTACAGTTCTCTCTCCATTAATGACTTTTCTGTAGTTTGTTTCATTTGATGCATAAACAGTAACATAACCATCAAAGGATTAACCAAGGATTAAAAAGATAAGTTACTTGGGAAATTTGATTGTTTGGAGGATTTCATCATGAACTAACATCGGTTAGAGAACCATTGGAAAACCACTAGGGAGCACTGCAGGACAGCTGTTCTGTCAGCCTAGTTTGGGACCTTCTGGTAGCAAAACCAGCGAGCTTGTAGACCATTAAGTCATTGGCCATCCCATGAATTCCAGCTTCTGCCGAATCACAACATAGCGCAACCACTTCACAATGTCTTCTTCAATGAGTAACTGTCCTCACCTTCAACCTGCTCTACCCTACTGGTCACGACTTCCCACTAGAACCTCAGGTTACTGCCTGAATAGGGCCAGTTGCTAGTGAGCATCAGATTAATTTTCAAGTATTTGTTTTTGTAAGGATTTTTGTTTGATTGGTTCGGGGATTTTATCTAACTGATGTCAGCTCATGATGAAATCCTCCAACCAATCAAATAAAAATCCCTACAAAAACCATTACTTGGAAAAATTTGTGTAATTCTAGCTTGTTTTAAAGTAACAACCTTTAAAGTAAGTCAATACATGAATTTTCATAGTCGGGTGCCTTTGAGAAGAAAGAGAAATCTGATCCGCTCATTATCCTCAAGCATATTAACCAGTGATATAATCGATGGTCAACTGGAGCGACTCAAAGAAGTCCTCATGGAAAATGGATATCCTTCAACATTTATCGGGAGAGACATGGAAGCGAAGCAAAAGCCCGAAAGAACCCAGACGGTGCCGAAGAAACTGCTATTTATGAACGTTGAATTTAAAAATGATACCGCAGATGAGATTTTGAAGAAACGCTTATCCAGATCACTGAGAAAAGCCTTCTTTTTGGCTAGGCTACGAATCAGTTTTTACAGCAGGCAAATGATCAATGGATGTGTGAAGGATAAACTGCCACTTTAGGCCGCTTCAATGTGTGTTTATAAAGTCACATGCTCGTGTGGAGCTAGTTATATTGGCTGCACACTTTCTAAACGCATCTCTGAACATTATTCGGCATGGTTAGCAAAAGGACAATACAAGATAGCTACTAGGTCAATTCTCAACCACTTGGTGAACTCAAGTCACGCAGCTCTACCAGAGTCGTCTTTTAAGATCATCTACAGGGTGAGGCCAAATGGTACAAATGGCGTCAGGTTTCGGCATTTGTGTATGACGGAGGCGTTGGCAATTCGTCAATACAACCCCGAACTCTGTATACAAAAAAGTCTGTCCAGTCTCTTATTTTCACATGGTCTTAACCTCTTCATTAGTCGTTCCCTGTAAATTTTTTTAATTTTTGATGATTACTTGGCTTTTACTTTAAAAATTAATTCACTATTATAACTTCCAAATGTTCCTTTTGTACATTTTCTCACGCACTTCATGCATGTTGAATGGACATTCAGCTACCTTTATTCTCAATCAATAACAATTTTAACCCTATCAAATTTCTAACCATTTTTTCCTTTGTGCCGTTGAGTATTACTTAATTTTTAACTTTTATGTTTACTTTTAAAGCCAATTCTAAGTAATTTTATCAGTTATGTCACCTCCCTATTCCTCAATAATGGGCTAGTTTACATTTTTGGTAAATATAAATACGACTGATATATGTATAAAACTTCGACACTGTGGTAGAGTATAACTACATTATAGATAAGATTTTATTTCGATAAATCACACAGTATTTTACAGTAATATTAACTGGTGACCACGTTTCGAGCACAAATTATTGCCAGTCATAATCATGTCAAGTCATTCACTCACACAACTTTCCTGCTTCATTTATATACATGAGTGGAATTGATTAGATATTTGAATAAAAAATCAATATAAGATAAAGAACATTCAGAAATAATATTAGTGTTATCAATCAAATACAATCAGATGGGGAATAAGACGAGTGTTTTTATAGTCAAAATAAGTAACTTGTTAGAATGTTATGATGTGCGTGAACTGAAATAGAATTTTGAGATTATTTATTATCCTCCTCTGATTTGACTGACTGGTGGTAATAATATCTTCCATATCTCTGGTATTGCTGATGAGTCACTTCTGGTGCATGTGTTGGGCTTAGACTCGATGAACCAGGATTCAGTAATCAACCTCTCTCTCCATCTACCTACATTACTCTATAGAATTTTCACTCTGTCCCAGCCTATTGTGTGGTTGTGTGTTAATGCATGCAGTGTGACTGCTGAGTTCTATTCTAAATTACTTATCATCGTGCTGCCAATCATTCTAACCTTAGCTAACTTCTTATGTTCTGATAATCTCACTACTCTTGATCTACTAGTTTGACCTATGTAGTTGACCTAACTCACAGTCATTGCAAGGTATTTTGTAAATTATATTATTCTGTAAAATTGGGTCAACCTACAGGGTCTTTTAGCCTACAGAGCTTGTCTTATCTGAGTGAGTTTGTAGGTTTAAATGCCACTCTAATTCCTGTTTTGTTGAGAATCCTACCTAGAGCCTCAGATGCCCCCTCTTTAAATGGTAAAACTGTAGTTGCCTTATATTCTCTCTTACTTATGTTATCATTATTAGTTTCACCATTATTTTTATTTTGCAGACAATGGATGAGATGAATTAAAGTCTAAATATCTATTAGAATGCGTTGGCTTTTTAGAAATACGACTGTACAGCCTCTGAAGGTGATTTCCTCGACAAAACACAATTTTCTTCACTGAATTGCCTTTTGTCTCCTTCAAGTAAATATTTATTTTTACTGTTCTATGGACTTCAGTTCTCTTGAAATATCCATGACTAATAGTAACTGGAGTGTCACCAACTGAACACAAAACAAAAATCACTTAAAGAAGAATTCAGTACTTGGAGAAAGACCTGAACATCATCTTCAACTACTTAAGTTCATGTAGGCTTATAGCTACAGCTTTGGATTTAAAAGGGTTCTCAGATTTGTGTCTACATTAGTGGTCATTAGAAACCCTAAAAATGCTCATTGAAAAAACCATCGAATGTGAACTGGAGACCTCCTTCAAAATAACAAATACAATACGTCGAACATTTCCAATTCAATAAGATTTAAAGTGTGGAAACAAAAACACAAATGCAAGACAATACAACTCAGATTAAAAATGACTTTCATGAATTCATTTTTTATCATATTATAATTATTAAACATCAGAACATCCAAAAAATTTACTTTTATGCTTTTAATTGTTTACGTTTATCATCTACCTTCGCTTCTTTGCTAAAAAAATGTGAAAAGCAGGTATCTGGACTAATTCACACCATTATCCTTAGTTCAAATTAGTTTCTGTGTGTATTCATTTCAAATACACATAAGAAGTTTCAACTTAGAACTTTTTTTTTATGAACACTAAACAGCCATTTCGTACTAGTCTTAAAACTCGTTAGTAGTGGGCAGTCCACGACCTTACCAGTCACCGAAGTCTGGAACTTCAGCTTACTTAGGGTTCAATTTCATGAATTTCGATTTCTGCTGACGAAATCAATAAAAATAAACCTAGAGGACTTCGGTGGTCAAGATTTCTACAAGAACTTTAGAAACGTTATATCACAAATTGACATTAGCCACTAGTAATTTAATATGCAGATGTTGGTTTTAAAGTAAAATTCATCAAATTTCACTTAATGTATTGTCATAAAACGACATGAGTTAGACAATCATTTAAAAAACCAAAAAGACGAATCAGTGGCACAGCGGTAGAATGCTCGCCAACTACACATTGGGTTCGAGGTTCGATCCCCGGCCGACGCACTTCTTCACCTCGCTAAGCCAGTAATAAGATTGATAAGGTAGAAGGACTGAGCGAATAAAATATTTACTTTTCAATTAGATCCTCATCTCACTTTGGATCT